TACACTTTAGCACAAGTTGATACAGGTTTTTGCTGTTCAGTGTCTCCATCAGTTTCTCCTAGCATGTGATGTTAATTTAGTTTAATAAATCCGCCGAAGCCCAGGTGAACAAGGTGGCTCGATGCGAGGAACGTCTATGATGGCTGTTTACAACCTCCAACCAGTGTTGCCAACTAATTTTCAGGGGAAGTTGCTAAAGGAAGGTTGATTTGTTGCTAAAAGTTGCTAAATGACATTTTGATGTCATCATGTGATGACGTCATTCCGTAATCATGACGCAAAATTGTGTCACTGCATCAAATCTCAACCAAAAAAATATTTTTTATTTAGATTTGTTAATAAAATAATGTAAATGCCTAATATAATATTACAATGTAAATAACTGTATTTTTAAATACAACAAAAATACAAGTTTTATCATAAATGAACAATGATTCAATGATTATTATTTTGGGTTACAGGGTTACAACGGATAATGGATAACATATGTCCTGGAAAATTACTAGTACCTTTTCATAATGTCTAGCTATTTTTCTAACAGTGTACAAACTGATCAACAATCACAGGTACAAGCTACTAACAAGTTTTATCATAAATGAACAATGATTCAATGATTATTATTATTAAATTGAACAACTGAAAACAGCAGCTAAATTTATTCATGTGTTGTGTGTACTGCTAAGCATCTTTGGTTTCCTCGTTTTTGTGTAATTTAGCTGGAAAATGTCGTTTTATCGTTTGAGTGTCACATATCAAAAGTTCCTAAAAGTTGCCAAATAAATTTTAAAAACAGCTAAATTTGTTGCTAGGTGCTTTTGGAAGAAAAAGTTTTTAGGGTAGTCTGAAAAGTTGCTAAATTTAGCAACACTGAAGGGGCGTAACATTTCCATCATACGCTTGAGGTATTCAGCCAATCACAATGCACTGGATAGCTGGCCAATCACAGCACACCTCGCTTTTCAGACCGATGAGCTTTGTAAAAATCGACACGTTTCAGAAAGGCGGGGCATAGAGGAGAAACAATAATGTACATTATGTGGAAAATAATGTGTTTTTTTAACCTTAAACCACATAAACACATTACATTACACCAAATACACAAAATAATGTTCTTTTTCATATCATATGACCCCTTTAATAAATGAAACCATTTAAAAACTGCATTTTGTATTTACCTGCATTATCTTTGTGTAAAGTTAAAATGAGTTTGATCTGAATCTTTTAAGTGTGACGTACGCAAAAAATAAAAAGAAACTTTTTCACACCACTGTATATTCTAGCGTAAATATTATAAAATTCATTAACCTGGTGGATCTCCAGCCATTGACGGTGGGCGCGTGGACCATCAGCTTTTTGGCACTGTAGTTTCCTTCATGACCAGACCAGCTGATCACAGTGAAGCCTATCTTATGAGGCATCCCGTACCTGAACTCTGATGGATATGGGATATGAACAATACACAATGTTTAATTTCACAAAGTACCAGCACTCTAACATAAATTATACAGAAAGAACCTGTAATTTGGCAACATGTCCTTACATGAGAGTAATATGTCGTTTATGATGTATGCTTAGAGTACATAAATATATCTAGAATCAAACTAGAATAATGTAGAATAACATAAAAAATACTTATTCAAATGAACAATTAATTAAACAGCAGCAAATGCACGGTGTATCTATTTAAATCCACATTACTACCACATAGGTAACGCAGCTAACGTTACTTGTTGTAACACTGTAATTTCAGTTAACGTTAAGTCTGCACTTAAATATAGCACATGTATTCAGAGGTTTGCTGCGTATTATAAAGAACCTTAATCATAACTCTTATATGTAAAGTATTTAGCGTCAGCGTGCAATCCGGCTAACTAATCATTACCATTACTGTTACAACTCCTCCAATACAGCAATAAGGATTTTAATCACAAACCACACGTTAATCAGATAACGCTCAGAATCACTCATTCTTAGAGTAGTACTTATATTCACTATTTGGCAGATACAATTTCGATAAATACGTTGTTTACCCAGATACAGCAGTTGCCTATGTTTATCTCCATAACCACCGTTTGACAACTGAATCGTGTGCGCATGCGCGAGTTTTTCGTTCGTTCTTGAGAGAATCCGGTGTTTTGAATGAATCTTTTAGGTGAACGAATCATTTTCGTTCACTTCCGTATACTGAGTCTCGTTCACTTCTATGTACAGTACTTTTGTTTACTTAAGTCTGTCCTGGTTGAAGTTGAAGTCTTCCATGCAGTGTTCTAAGCTATATTAAAATATTTATATTTCCCATAATATATTCTATATTCTTTTTTCTATTTAATTCACAAATTTCTTAATAGTCCATTATATTCTATTTCATATAAGTGTGTATGCCCACAATTCTTTGTTGTTTCTGTTTGTAGTTGCACAGTGGGACGAGAAATTAAGAAAAACATTTTATAACCTTTCATCATATGTGGAATTTTATATTTATTTTAATTATATTGATTATATTATTTTAATTTATTTTCTATATTTATTTGTATATGTATATGTTATACAAATTGAATAAATATATTACGTATATATTTTACATTCTATTTCGCCACCTACTGGCCCACGACGAAAGCTAAAGAAAGAATCAGTGAAAGAATCTTTTAGCTCAACGGATTCAAAAGACTCGAGTCACTTTAGTGAATCAAAAGTCCAGACTCTAGCGAAGACAAAGGGATGCTGGTTCTTGTAGTCCTTTATAATGGTGCTGGTTAAAAATGGGAGAGTTACCCTAAGACAGTGTGTGTAAAATATTACTATTAAAATATGAAATATGAAAATCCTAAATTCCAAGTACAACGCTTAATTAAGTTGCATTTTAATTGGAAATGGATGAAAAACCGGCATCTTATTAAACTCTTCCGGGTTGCGTCCACGTTCCGGTGTTCCGGTGAATTCAGTGCCCCTGTTTCCCCCTCACAGCGCATGCGCAGCTTCAGTACATGATTCCGGCGAAGCGAGTTTTAGTGGAAATAAGGATTGGGGCGGATTTATCAGATCAATACATAGTTGATAATGGCACACCACAAGGCAGTGTGATAAGCCCATTACTTTTCATTATTATGATTAATGACGTATTTGGAACAGTTCCAGAAGATATAGGAAGGTCTTTGTTCGCAGATGATGGGGCGCTATGGAAGAAAGGAAGGAATATGGAATATGTTACTAGGAAAATACAGGAAGCAATTGATATAGTGGTGGAGTGGGGCTATAATTGGGGGTTTAGGTTTTCTATAGAGAAGACTCAGTCAGTCTTCTTTACCAGAAAAAGAATTCAGGAAGGACTAAAGTTAAGAATGTATGGGAGAGATTTAGAGAAAGTTGGAACTTTTAAATTCCTTGGATTTAATTTGGATTCACGCTTGACATTTGCAGATCATTTCAGGAGAATGGAAGAAAAGTGCAAAAGAGTAATAAATGTAATGAGATGAAACATGATACTGGATTGTGTGAGGTTTGCCAGGAAGAAGAGTCAGTGGAGCATGTGGTCTTGAGGTGCAGCAGGTATGAGGTTCAGAGAGAGTTGATGAGGAATAAGTTGAGAGAGATAGAGGTTCAGGACATGACATTGAAAGAGCTGTTGAGCACACAACACAGGGCAAAAACTAGAATTCTTATGGATTTATTAAGGGACACAGGGGTTTTTAATAGAGTATGAAGAGTTATAGGAGTATTGAGGAAGGTTAAAATCATCATTATTATTATTATGATATAGTAGAATAAGGATGAAGTGTGTGGATTTGTATGCTTGGGGGAGAAGGAGGTAATTTGGGTGTATTAGTCTGTGAACCTGTTGTCTGATCCACACTCCGGAGCAGATGGTGGCGGTAATGCACCAATTACGCTGGATGCCAACCGCCGTTAAACATTAAGAAGAAGAAGAAGAGTTTTAGTGGGTTTGCTGTCTTTTCGCAAGCACAAGGTTCATTTCACCATGTTCATTAGATAGCTAATTTGTAATTAAACACATGTATGTACGTGACGTCCTGTTCAATCGCTACAGAGTCAGATTTCCCTGCTAATTCTTACTTTGGCCTATTTTATTAAGTGTAACGTTTAGGCTACGATTACACAGTTAAATTCCTTCGTCGGGGGCATTCTTTTGTTCAAACGCCCATTTTCATTTTATTGTTAGTGTTGTTGTTAGTGTGTGTGTGTGTGTTTCTGTTAAACAACTGAAGCCTTGTCGAAATAATAATAAATAAGCTATATTGCACAATGACTAGTCTCTAGAACAGATTTTTCCAGAGGCCTGAGAAAAGTGGTTCCCTCCCAGTATATTACCTGCTGAGGATTTGTAACAATACTGGTTATGTTTTTCAATGTCATCATAATTATGTCTATCTGCAGAACAGTGTTTTTACATTGAATACACAGGGGGAACAGATTTACCTGGATGCAGCAATTTTCTTTTTGTCTAGATATTAATTTGTCATTAAAGTAGGCAACATGAATTAGAGGACTTAAAAAAAAATGATTGCAATTATTATTATTTTAAAATTAATTTAATAAAAGCTTGTTTAAGATGATTTAGTTTTTTATATTACTGTGACTTAATTAATAAACGTGACAATAAATGTTGTTTATATACTCTTTTATAGAAGATTTAAACGATCTCTGTCATTTTTGTGGACTACGCAACGACCCAAGTGATTCAGACGTAACACCTGCTTGGTTTGGGGACTTTTTATTTTATTTTTTAAATTAAACCTAGTATTATCTTATGTTTGGTCCTTGCTAAATTGGCAGTTGTTACAGATTATTTTAATCTAATTTTGAGGCAATTATGGTTATTTAACATAGAGTCATTGTGCAATATAGTTTATTTGTTGTTATTTCGACAAGGCTCAAGTTGTTTAACAGAAACACACACACACTAACAACAACAATAACAATGGTGTTACACTTCATAAAACAGGAAAAAGTTAGAATTAGCAGGGAAATCTGATTCTATGTTGCGATTGAACAGGACGTCATGTACATGAATACCTATTTAATTACAAATGATCTAAATAACATGGTGAAATGTTGCTTGCAGAAAGACAGCAAAACCACCATAAGCTGACTTGCTTAGCCGGGGCGAAATCATGAAGTCATGATTTTAGTACTGAAGTTATCAGGGTTGCCAGGATATATAAAAAAGAAACGCCCAATTGCTACTAAAAACTACCGCTGGAAAACCGCGGACTTGGCAACACTGCGAAGTTGCGCAGGCGCTGTGAGGGGGAAACAGGGAAACTGAATTCGCCGGAACACCGGGTTACGTTGGACAGCATGGCTGAAGAAAATAGCTCATTGAATATTTGGCCAGAAATAGAAAAGGCAGAAAAGGAGAACAGGCGTGAGCTGGTGCTTCAGGGTTCAGCGGTTGACAAAAAGATCCAGAGCAGCGGCGGACTTCACGCGCGACTTTATTCCCTCTCGCCCCTAAACTACCTGGAGATCAGTCAATGTCCCAGTTTACAAGAGATCCACGAGAACATCGGACATCTGTCTCATCTACAGAGTCTGATCCTCTGCAGGAACAAGCTCACTTCAGTCCCAAAAAGCATTGGTGAACTGAAGGCGATTAAAGTCCTGGATTTGTCTGTCAACCAGCTGCAGGCGTTGCCCGAGGAGATCTGTGCACTGAGCGAACTCAACACTTTAAATGTCAGCTGCAACAGCATCGCCGCTCTGCCGGATGGCCTGAGCAAGTGTGTGAAGCTCGCCAGCATCAATGTGTCCAAAAATGCACTCTCTCGGCTCCCAGATGACTTGTGGTGCTCCAGCCTGGAGCTCCTCAGCAGCATCATAGCATCAGAAAACACGATAGAGGAGCTGAGCAGTGAGGTTCATAACCTGCCTGCGCTGAAGGTGCGTTTCATCACAAAATCGAATATTCCTACTGTATGTGAATTGAATGTTCAGTGGTTCAATACATACACATTTTAATCAGTCGTGATTATATAGAAAGAGTGTTGGTGGTGTATCATGTACACACAATTTAGTTTTGTAGTTTTATTATTGTACGTAGAATTTATTTTTATTCCTATTATCATTATATGGATTATTTTTATTTTTTTTATTTTATTTTATTGTTAGTATTGTTTTGCTGATAACAGGCCTATAATTTATAGTTCAAATTATTTAATTCAGTTTGAAAATAATGCTAAAAGGAAGCATTCCATTATGGGTCTCAGACTTTTGGACCTTTAAAATGTAATAAGTATAGTGATTAAATATCAATTTGTGATTTTAATCCATTTTCAATCAAAATATAAATTTTTAAATAAATATCAAATATTGGGATTTTCAAAAGTAATTCTAAAAATTGTAGGTGGTGTATTAAGTACTTAAAAATATTACTACAATTCATTATTATTATTATTATTTGTATTATTAGGTCTATAATTTGTAATTAATTTTTTAGAAAGAATTGCTAAATAGAAGCATTCCACTATTATTCTCAGACTTTTGTAACATTTTGAATTGAATAAAAACAACAGTTCAGTCAATATCAATTCCAATGAGTTGTGATTTGTTTTTTAAGTAATTCTAAAGAATGTAGTTGGTGTATTATGTACTCAAAATATGATTAATAACATTTATTTTATCTCTGTATAATAATACAGTAATTAACATACGAAAAATCACTGTATATTAATATGCATTAATAATATTTGAAAAGCCTTTCAGAATTCTCTCATGCATCTCACTCTCTTCTGTTTCAGGTTTTGGATCTCTCCAGCAACAAGCTCCAGGAGCTTCCATCTGAGTTGGCCGACTGCCCCAAGCTGAAGGAGACCAATTTTAAAGGGAACAAGCTGAAGGACAAGAGGCTTGAGAAGATGGTGAATGGCTGCCAGACTAAATCAGTCCTAGACTACCTGAGGGCAGGTGGGAGGGGGAAAGGGAAAGGCAAGCAGCAGGATGGAGAGGTGAGCGAGAAGCTTGATGGAGGCCATAACATCTCAAAGAAGAAAAGCGGTGCAAAGCAGAAAGGCAAAAAAGAGGCAGAGGAAGTGGATGAGCTTAATCGGATGGTTGTGAGAGTTCTGCATGTATCCAAAGCACCCACGGCTGTGACAGTCAAAGTTTCTGCAGGAGTCAAGGATGTTCGGCCATACATTGTGTGCTGCATTGTAAAAGGCATGAACCTCAGACAAGGAAATGCACTCAAGCGATTTTTAGTTGCTCAGGTGACACATGTTTAAAATAAATATCTTATCCATCAGAACTCTTGTGTTCTGTCTATCTGTCTTTTTAAATAGATTTTATATAAGCTTATATAAATATCCGTGAATTCTGTCTGCAGACCAAACTTCACGATGAGATTTGTGCCAAAAGAACAACAGCAACCATTGCAACTCATGACCTCGGCTTGCTGAAGACTCCTCTGTTGTATGACGCCAGGCCACCAGATACACTGAAGGTATGGGAGGAGGTTTATCAAATATTGGGGTTTCATATGTATACTTAGTATTCCTTTTGTAATAAAAATGTCTTGCTCTTTCAGTCATAATTGTCCCAGTAGTTTGTTACGTAACTCATCAATCAGAGCATCTCCACTAGTTGCATAACCGGCAAACAATGCAGGAATGATGAATATTTAATAACCGTTGTCGATACAGTTTTTATGAATGGCGGGAATCTGGTGTCAAAGCCACCAGCTGACAAATGACACAGAGAAGTCTCATAATCCTCAGTTTTTAATAATTAATGAACAGTCTTTTTTCTCGCTGTTGTTTCTTTTGTGTTGACAGTGAATTCAGCACCTATCTAAGAGGCCACAGGCAGTAGGACAATAAGATGTGTTACGTTGCTTCATTCTCATAATTGATGGTTTCATTTACACTGCCGTTCAAAAGTTTGGGATCAGTAAGATTTTTAGTGTCTCTTATGCTCATCAAGGCTGTATACATTTGATCAAAAATACAGAAAAAAACAAAACAAAAAATAATTTTGAAATATTACTGCAATTTCTAATATTGGTTTCCTATTTTAATATACTTTAAAATATAATTTATTTCTGTGACGCAGCGCTGAATTTTCATCAGCCACGTTTCTCCAGTCTTCAGTGTCACGTGATCCTTCAGAAATCATTCTAATATGCTGATTTATTATCAGTGTGGAAACTGTTGTGCTGCTTTATATTTTTTTGGAACCTGTGATACTTTTGTCTTTGACTCTTTGATGAATAAAAAGTTAAAAAGAACAGCATTTATTCAAAATAGAGATCTTTTCTAACAATAGTAATAATATAAGTCTTTACTATAACATTTTATCCATTTAACACATCCTTGCTGAATAAATTTTTTTTTTAAGTAAGAAAAAATACTGACCCCAAACTTTTGTGTAGTAGCGTATATTGTAAGTTAACACAATTTCTTTTTAACTCCTTATTTATCAAAGATTCCTGAAAAAAAGTATCACAGGTCCAAAAAAAATATTATGCCAACATTGATTATAAATCAGCATATTAAAATGATTTCTGAAGGATCATGTGGCACTGAAGACTGGAGTATTGATGCTGAAAATTCAGCCTTGCCTCACAGAAATAAATTATATTTTCAAGTATTTTAAAATAAAAAACTTATTTTAAATTGCAATAAGTTTTCACAAAATTATTTTTTTTCTGTATTTTTGATCAAATAGATACAGCCCTGATGAGCATAAGAAACTTCATTAAAAAGACAGATTTGTGAACAGAAAAAGTCTTAGATCTTTGAGTTCAGCTCATGAAAAATGGGGGCAAAAACAGAAGTGTTGCGTTTATAATTTTGTTCAATGTAATTAATGATAAAGTTACTTTGTAATTTTTTTAAATAAACAACATTTTTTGTGGACTTTCCCTGTTTTGCTGAATCTCTCAATTGGGTAAGCTATAAAATTATACAGTCAAATCTTTCAATATCAAGTTTACTTCCTTGAGCAAGGTTTTTAACCTCAGGATGACTCTGTATAGGAACGTTTGACCCTCTGGATGAAAAACATCTGCATCAATATCAAAACTAGTAGTTGGTCTCATAATTCAGTTTATAGTTAGGTTAGCAGGAACTATTTTAAAATGCACATCTTCAGACATGTTTAGTGAAGTGACAGTAGCATTGTTTGCATCCTGTGTTTGTTTGTGTCTGTGGAGCACATGAATGCTCGGGGTTTGGTTACAGATCAGATGACTGGCCGACTCAGGAAATGTAAAGAGGAGGAGAGTAGGTCTGAGCTGTCTATAAGAGATGCAAGAAGGACATTGTCTCTCAAGACAGCCCATCATGCTACATGACATTGACAGTCGTCCATTTTGCTCTTATTAAAAAGTTCTCAAAATGACCCAGAGGAATGACATTTGGGACCACAGGACGGATGGAAGATGGAAGAGTGGATCTAGCAAAACTCTTAACATCGAGGAGAATTTCCATACGTTTGGGACATTTAAGACCTCCAGTCCATCTCTGCCCATCTGTCTGGAGTTGATTGGAACGAAGGGATCTTACCATTTATCATCCGGGTGGAAACTGGCTGGAAATGGAAAAGATCAAGCTATCAAACCTCGTAAGGTTTTAATGGCGAAGGGGAATGATGGCAGGACTTTGACAAATAGTAGCTCGCTGCCTCCAATACACAGCCCAAGAATATCCACTATCCCCATGTCTAGTGCAAAAACCTGTGAGTCAAGCTGGGGAGTAGGATGTCAGGAGAAGAAAGCCAATATCTTGTCCACCAGCATAAGGATGGACAAGACATTGTTCAGTAGACAAAGGCAGGGATGTCAGCTGATCTGCAATGGACTGGCTGTTTTTAATGACAGTCTGCAGGTTCAAAACCAAGACTTGAGACAGGACAAGATCCCTGGTGTATCAGAAGGGCTGCCACAGAATGAACTTCTGGATGTAGAGCCCAGTAACGTCAGTGCCAAAGACAGAGAAGTGATGACAGAAAGGATGAAGGATTCAGCGAGTGTATCTAAGGACAGACTTGCGCAGTCATTCTCTGATTCGGCTATTGAGATGGAAAATGAGAACGAAATGAATGAAATTATGGACAGTCAGGAGGAAGAGTATTATACTAACCAAAGGATCACGGCATGGATTGTCAAAGTAAATGCAAGCTTATTTTCTTCATCAAAAGATGAGATTATTGACCAAATGCTAGAAGAGCAGGATGTGGATACTATTAAAATCATCTATGACCAGGACTGATGTCAAATGTAATATTAATTGTAAACAGTGTAAAATAATGTTAAATTTCCTAACATTAGTTAATGTATTTGTGTTGTTTTCATTCTTAAAACAGTAATAATGTTCAACATAAAATGATAAAATTACTTGGTATACACTACCATTCCAAGTTTTGGGGTTGGTAAGATTTTTTTATGTTTTAAAGGTCTCTTATGCTCACCAAGGCTGCACTTATTTGATAAAAAAAATACAGTAAAAATAGGACTATTGTGGAATGTTACTACAATTTTAAATAACTGTTTTATATTTAGTCCTTAATATTAATTGTAAACAGTGTAAAATAATGTTAAATTTCCTAACATTAGTTAATGCATTTGTGTTGTTTTCATTCTTAAAACAGTAATAATGTTCAACATAAAATGATAAAATTACTTGGTATACACTACCATTCCAAGTTTTGGGGTTGGTAAGATTTTTTAATGTTTTAAAGGTCTCTTATGCTCACCAAGGCTGCACTTATTTGATAAAAAAAATACAGTAAATATAGGACTATTGTGGAATGTTACTACAATTTTAAATAACTGTTTTATATTTAGTCCTGTTTTATTATGCAGGACTAAATTTGAATAAATAATTATTTAATGAACAGCTTTAAATAAATAAATAAATAATATTTTATGAAATCCCTGAAGAAGTGGACACATGTCAGTTAACAGTCAGTTTGTTCCGTTCCTTAATGTTAATAGTCTATATTTCTCTGTTGTAGTTTGCTCAGAAAGGTGTCATTTATTTTGCCTGTTGTCATACAGTTTATTTGAGATATTTGGTCTTACTATCAACATACTTACTTACTTACTGCATCTAAGTAGATATATACAAGATCCAGTCCTTTTGTTCTGTTTTCTTTTATAAGTCAGTACTGTGACATTATGGTTTGTTGTCGCGTTCTTCTTCCGCTCCGGTAGGTGGCAGCAGGCGTATAGCCATATAGCGCTGCTGTTCTCTTGCAGATTACAGAAGAAAAGTCTAAACATCCTTCGAGCAGCGTGTTATTAAATGTTTGTTTATTTGTGGATGACAGACATTTTACCAAAAATCGGACTGAGTGTATTACCGAAATTGTTTTAGTTTTTACGTTTTTTTTCTGAATGCAACACTTTTATCACACGTATTCTGGAGCAACTATATGCATGATCGCTGATATTTTATAAACGAGAAGCTGCTCTTTTTATTAAAGGTTGTTGCATATATTTTGGCTTCTTCGGTATGGCCACTCTGACGAGGCAGGACCTTAATTTTGGCCAAGGTAACGTTTATTTCATTTGTAAATGTAATGCACTGTACAGCTTTCAAATAACGTAATTGTGAATATTCTTTTTATATTGGTCATTTTCAGTTGCTGCTGACATTCTGTGTGAGTTTTTGGAAGTGGCCATTCACCTCATCCTATATGTCAGAGAGATTTATCCATCTGGTATTTTTCAGAAAAGGAAGAAATACAGCGTTCCTGTGCAGGTAATGTTTTTAAGATTGATGACATTACGAATGAGCACTGCTAATTGTCATCATTTACTCACCCTCATTTCATTCCAAACCTGTGTGACTTTATTACTTCTGTGGAACATGAATGGTCACCAAAATTGCATGATTATCAACATTCTTCAAAATGTCTTCTTTTATGTTCTGCAAAAGAACAACATTTGGGTTAGTAAATTATGACAAAAATGTCTGCACCTTCTTGCCTTATCTGTTCTGTGTATATTTAACAGGATTTTCCATGGATTGTAGCAGATGAGCAGGATGTTCACATGGAAGAGGCAAAACTCATTCCCCTAAAAACGATGACTTCTGATATTCTCAAGGTTAGACATTCACTGTTTTTCCTGTACAGAGAGTAAGATTCATTGATTCAACCCAAGCACAATATGCTCTAGGATCATTCACAAATCATGCTGGTGAACATGATCATCAGGTTTGAGACAAACATGGTCATGCAGCTCAAGTGCTGCTGTCAGTAAAGTGTAAGAGGAACTAAACATTCTGACATTCATGTTAATATCATCATAGCAATCAAACTGGCTGACTCTGACTCTGTTCTCGAAAAAAAAAAACAGGAAGTTGAATATTTTCGTTAAGCTCATAACAGTCTTGAAACTTTATCATAACATGATGTTTTCTTTCTGCCTTGAAACAGATGCAGCTCTATGTAGAAGAAAGAACACAGAAAACTTGATGCTCTGCAAACACATGAAAGCAGCTGCAGGTGTTTACCAAAGGAAGCAGGAACTTTGTTTTAATCGCTGACATCAGGCTTAATTATAAACTACGTTTTGCTAACATGACCGAAGTATATTGAGCTGGATTGTGCATTTTATTAAAGCGGTCATATGATGTTGCTAAAAAGAACATTATTTTGTGTATTTGGTATAAATGAAATGTGTTTATGCAGTTTCAAGGTTCAAAAAACATTATTTTTCCACATACTGTACATTATTGTTTTTCCTCTATGCCCCGCCTTTCTGAAATGCGTCGATTTTTACAAAGCTCATCGGTCTGAAAAGTGAGGTGTGCTCTGATTGGCCAGCTATCCAGTGTGTTGTGATTGGCCGAATACTTCAAGCGTGTGATGGAAATGTTACGCCCCTTTCCATACTGTGGAAGTATGTCCGGCCGGAGCATAACATAAAACCATATCTGCATTTGTGATCGGAGAGAAATGACAAACAACAAGTGCTTCTCTACACTGCCCAAAACTCACATTTGAATCATCAGTGGCAAATTTTTTAAAGGGGTCATATGATGCAATTTCAAGTTTTCCTTTCTCTTTGGAGTGTTACAAGCTGATTGTGCATAGATAAGATCCCTGAAGTTACAAAGACTAAAGTCTCAAAACCAAAGATATACTCTTTATCAAAATTAAGACTCTGCCACGCCCCCCTAAAACGGCTCGTTCTAACACGCCCCCACATATCTACCTCACTATGTGGAAATATTTGCATAATGCCGCCCAAATGTGCACACAAAGAAAGAAGGCGTGGTTTCAGTAACCGCAGTTAGTGTTGAAGCAGCCATGTCAGGGAGACGCTGTGTGTTTCTAGGCGAAAGCAAAAGCACTTTATTTGGCCTTCCGAAAGTAGATGCATTTAGGAATCTTTAAGATTACTTACAACAGAACAGCAATGCATTTTATGGACGACCGTTTCGTGAACCTAGGAGAGGAGGTAATTCTGACTTTGCTATGACAATCTGGCGCTTCTGAATCAGCTACTGTTTTGTTATTAGTTTAAGTATTTGCTATTGACTGTTCAAATGCGGTGTTTTGCGCATAGTGTGTGTGTGAGAGTGAGAGTGTGTCACAGTCACATCAAAGTGGAGTCAGCTGTCTTAACCGTGGCTTGTGTACTGCAAACACATACCAGCTTCATCACTGTGTCTGTCACG